TACACGCTTAGGTACAGTCGTAGACTAGGACCTGTCTCTTATACACATCTAGATGTGTATAAGAGACAGCATATATATATATACAAATTATATCATCATTATTGTTAATTATTGTTATTATCTACTTAATAAAATAATAATAACATTAACATAGTCATTTACAAGATACATCATATACAGACTTCATTGTAGTGCAAGAATAAAATAAGTTAAATTTAACAGTAAAAACTATTTTATTCTTTTGATAAACTAGTAAAAATTTTTTTAAGGTTTTCAAAATTCCGTATCAGACTGCTGTAAAATTATCACCACTATTCTCAACATTCTCATTATGATAACCCTTACTATTAATAAAAAATGTAATTAATGTGAAGGAAATTTACTGTAACTCGCAAAAATTACATACAGGCCGTAAAATCGATCCTGTTTTTCTATCTTTTTTAAGAACTGTGTTTTGAAAATATTGTTGGTACTGATACTGTATTAACTGTAACACGTTGACTGCCAGACCTTTTTTTAGGTTCCTTCCTACAGGTATGTGCCAGAACAACTATACATGTACAAACATAACATTTTTGAAATTCTATGTAGTCATGTATCATCAAAATGGTGTATCCAATTATATATAGGCGGGAAAATATTAGGGAACGAGGAAACTTGGGGGGGCCCCCTGCTGAACAGAGCTCGTCGGGCAGTCAGACCATAAAACATTTAAAAATAGGCCCACACCAAACTAAAACATGTCTGTCACAGTCTGAGTGCCATTTTCGGCCATCCAGAGGTAGATATTCTTTAAAAAAAATATCATTTGGGAGGGGGTTCCCCCCTCTCAACCCCTTCCCCAGCTCGAGCCTACGAGCTCAAGTCCCCCTGTCGGAAAACTTAGCCCCCCCCCAACAAATATATCCTAGAGCCGCCACTGCCTCAGCAACACCCTGTGGGACGAGTATACTCGTCGCTGGCAGCCAACATGTTAACAAATAATCTTCACTTTCCATAATCATTAACATTGGAACAGGAAGAGTTTATGAATTTGAAAATCATTTCCTTACCTGTTGCAAGGTAGGTGATGGTAGTATATTTATGGCTTGAAGATCACTCAACTTTTTCCATATTCTGAAATATTGAACATTTAAAAATATATAATTGTTCAAACTCCAATATAGAAAATAATTTATTCATAGAAAATCATAACTAAATGGATTAATCAGTGATAGATCCAGGGGATAGCGAAAATAAATGACAATAGAACAAATAAATAAAATCTTTCTGCTTATTAAGATACTGTAAATATTATAGAATTAAAAATATATATATGGTTATTATTTTCAGATGAACATTCCAGATTATTTTCAATATCGCCAGATACAAGTCCCATAAAGTTTAGTGTGTGAATACAATCATGTTCCTGATGATGACATAATTATTATTAAAATATTGAATCCCAAAACGAAGGAGGGCATTTAAATACTTGGAACATGTATTATACTTTCCAATACAATTTGGGTGTTTTTCATTCTGTTTGTCTTCTTTAGTTGAGTTTGACATTTTTGTTCTTATATCCAAGCAATAAATATTATAATAATAATAATATAGATAAGAAAAAATATAGCAAAACGAGCTTTCACCCTGGCCAGGAATCGGCGCCCTAGTCATTCCTCCCCGACTATCCCTATCCATTCCATGCAAGGTTATGCACCAAGCAAGACCATTAACTATAGGGTTCACTAACTCGGTCCCAATTTGAAACAACTGAACGGAGGGAGGAAAGCACCGCGACCCCTAAGCCATAAATGCGGAGAACCTAGCACTATCAAGTACCTGTCAGTCGAATCTTGAGACTACCTAACTCCAAAACTTGCCGGAAGCTCCCCCTCGCGAATACTCGCTAGTAGTACAAACAAACGACGTACACCTCGAAAATATGGCCAAGCGCTCAGAATGTAAACTAGATCGGAATCCGTTAAAGAAAAGAGGCAGGTAACCTAATTAAAATAACATATTCATATATATACAGCTGTGGGTCAACATTACGCATGGTCATGGTGTCAAATTAATTCAAGCTCATTTTTTAAAGTAGGAAAACCTTGAATATTGAAAATAATTGTTATTAATAAATATATATTTAAAGTTTTTATTAAATTTTCAAAATAATTGTCCGTTTTATTTGAAAAAATCAATAAAAGATTATAAAAATATTCAAATTAGATATATGCAAATATATTTGATTAATTATTCACAATTAGTAGAGGGCGGTTTTACATTCTATCTAAAGAGAGAAAACAAAAAGAATAAATAAGAAGTATAAAAAATATATTTAAAAAAAATTTTAAAATAAAAAATATATTAATAAAAATAAAATAAAAGGTGGTGGTTCCAACAAAACGTTTTCTCGAACCACATACACGCTTAGGTACAGTCGTAGACTAGGACTAGGAATAATAATAGGGCCTATGCCTGTAGGCCTAAACGTAAACGTTTTTGTTTTGGTGTAGTACCTAGGTACGAAAGCCTATTAGGGCCACTGAAATATATATTTTTATTTCGTAATTACGACTTATTATGTTGAAATTTCGACATACGTATGTCGTAATTACGACTTATTATGTTGAAATTTCGACATAATATGTCGAAATTACGACATGTCGTAATTACGACTTATTATGTCGAAATTTCGAGATAATAAGTTGAAATTACGACATGTATGTCGAAATTTCGACATAATAAGTCGTAATTTCGACATATTTATGTCGTAATTACGATATAGACTTGGGCCACTGTACGTATTGTTTCTCGTCAGCTTCACTTATGTACGATTGAAAAGTTGTGACTTGCAGTTGAGTGATATTTTAATTTTGAATTTCATATTTTCAGTTATAATTTCAAAATTCTGAATACACATGTCCCCAAAAGAGCAAATAGCTAAAAAGTACATTTTGAAAAATGTGTAAGTTGAGTGGGTTTTTACGAAATCGACGTAACACTACAGGGGATCCAGGGGAATTCCCCGCTAAATTTTTTGTTTGTTTTAAAGACTGAAATAACATCTGAGGCCTTTTTGGCGATCATTTTTTTTCCCTTATTTTTATTTATTTTATTTACCAAATTTTTATAGCGCCCTTTTCATGAGTACTCATGTTCAAAGGCGCTTTACATTAAGGATGCAAATAGAATACACCCACACCCTACTACGGACCGTCACCAAAATGTAATCATATCTTTACTGGGTTATGCCTAACACTCTTATTTTCATTTATGTCAGTGCAGCCGTTTTTGATATATGTTGCACACAAAAATACCACACGAAAATACCAAAACGTTACACACACGCACACACACACACCTACACACACACACACCACCCACACACACAAACGTTAACACCCCAAATTACTACAAAGAAATGTCATTATTTTTAAGAAACTAGAAAATAAAATTAATATCCTTTGCAGTGTTAAAAATGAGTACACGTTAATCATGGGCGAGATATGATATGTATTTTACAATACAAACTAAATCAGACAAACAGTATAAACCCCAATGGCAAATATCCCCACCACTGACGCAGGACCATCGGAAGCACACCGGCCGCACAGGCTTTGGCCGGACGACTTTTTCCCAATTGTATTACTTTTAAAAATAAATATACTCTGATACCTGAAGTTAGTATTAATGTTAGCATTAAATTTACTTTTTAATGTTGTATACCGTATTTAAACAAAAATCCACCATTTTTCAGCCACCGTTTTTGTATTGCCCATGTACATTTAACATTTACTTTAATAATTAAGATTGATTTTAAAAATCTTTAGAGATATACATATAAATAGTGGCCCAAGCCTATGTCGTAATTACAACATAAATATGTCAATATTACGACATACGTATGTCGTAATTACGACTTATTATGTCGAAATTTCGACATATGTAAGTCGTAATTGCGACTTATTATGTCGAAATTTTGAATACGTATGTCGAAATTACGACGTAATGTCGAAATTTCGACATACGTATGTCATAATTACGACTTATTATGTTGAAATTTCGACATAATATGTTGAAATTTCGACATAATATGTCGAAATTTCGACATAATAAGTCATAATTGCGACATAAAAATATATATTTCAGTGGCCCTAATAGGCTTTCGTACATTATTGCCTGAATCTGAGTCAATTTAATGTTATTCTAGTGGAGGTCTTCATTTTTGAGGTCTTCGGTCTTCATTTTGTAGACACCCTTACATCTTATGAATGAGAAGTATGCAATGTTGTATGAAGGTCTTGACACAGAAGAATGATGTCTTAACTAAAAATATATATATAGGTCTATATATAAATAAATAAATAAAATAAAATAAATGAAAATATAATTTAAAAAAATCAGAAATAGTATATTCCTGATTCATTGAATCGTTTTGGGTATACTTTACAAAACATACAAGGTTGATTAAACGTAAAGGAATGCATTCGAATTTTAAATAAAATTACCAATCCTCCTTGTTTCTAATTTAAGGAAATTGATACATTTTTGTTCCTTTGTTGGATCGATTGCGGCAACCCCAAACCGAACATAACGGTATTTCACATATATAGCATTAATCATCTATTATAACTGCTAACTTCCTATCCTATCGCGTTAGTTTGTAGCTGGCTAATGTTTTGTTTAGGTGACCAAGAGGTGACAACATTAGTTGCCATGATAATCGCGCGTCGTGCGGTGATTACAAAGGCCTAATGATATTTTGCACTAATATTAGACTGAAATTATATTCTTCATTTCAACATTAATTTTACCAAAATTGTGGTGAATTGTCGTTCATGAGACTTACTTCGCAGAAAAAAATTAATAAACGTTCTGTATATACTCAAATGTTCGTTTTCGGCACCTTACTGTATGCCAACATTGTCAAAATGACAGATTAATGTTACATAAGAACATGAAATTTGATAAAATTCGTAAATTTTAAATTGCTATAACTTTTCATTTTCTTGGTCAATTTTCACAAATCAAATTGCAGTTTATAGAAGCATTTAACAAGCTCGCGTTAAAAAAAATCAGATGTAACAGACATTGCGAAGTTCCCACAATTAATAAAATAAAAACTAACCATAAAAAGAATGGCACGCATAGACTAATAATTGACGGCTGTACTCGCAACTAGTATCGGATTGTCGATGCCACAGTAAAGATCAAAGGACTGTGTTCGAGAGCTATGTTCGAGAGCGGACATGTGCGTCCTTCTGTTGAATTACCTTGGGCTATCTAAATAAAAAGATTCATTCACGACACGTGGTTCCACCAAAATATTGCCTTTACAAAAACCATAATAGCAAGTCCTCTACTTACATTAAAATCGATCTTGAATTAATTCACACTACTGAAGAAACAAAGTAAGCTGTCAACATCTTCGAATGTTACTGTGTGTATGTTGTATGCCTACTTCTTCCACAATTAGGCTATAATAGTAAATAAACAAATACTGTAGTCTCTTATTACAGACAGCTTCTTCCACGTTCTGCGTCAATCTAGTTCTCTAGGCACTGGCGGCGCCAGCGGGGGCGGGAGTGGGGGTAGGGGGACAGCTCCATATAGAAAGAGTTGCGACTTTAAGAATGTAGAAGCCATTCTGTGTCCAACGCAATGTGCTTTTATTTGAAATAACGATCAGCAAAAATTAATTAAATATGCCTATCAGATAAGTCTATATTTATATACTAAATGTACAAAATGTGATTATTAGATCAAGTTATTTTGGTGTCCATCCATCCACGAATTTTGTCTTTATCGTTATCCAATTTTGTTTAGTATATCGTTTTAAATTATTATTTATCTATGTTGTTCATGTTATTTAATTTGTTTAGGGAAAAAAACGATAATTAAACAACAAAATATTCTAGCATTTTTCCTTGAATTTTTTAGGCTTACAGCAAAGAAAAACAACCAGTGATTTCCGGGATCATAATCAAATTAAAAAAGTGTTTTTATCGACACTGTCCATTGAGGCCGACCAGCCCTCCTTAAACCGTACGTTACGTTATCTCACTATATTAATTGGATTAACACATTATCAAGGTGTCCTTTGATTCAATTATGGGTAAACGGATTAGTTGCCTTTTTTATGAGGTTTTAATTGTTCTTTACCGCCGAAAGTGCGGTATTCTAACGTTAGTTTAAGGAGGGCTGGTCGGCCTAATGATACACTGAGTCTAATGATGTCAGGTATGATCCATTTCATTTTATTTAGCTTAGCTATTTTTATTTTAAGCTCCATTCCCGGCAAAATTTCAATTTTTTTTTAAAATCTAATTTTTGTATAATGTTATAAAGATTTATAAATATAATACGGAATTGCTAGTTTAACTGAATTTAGACATTCCTAAGAATGAAAAAAATGTAAAATAAGAAATTTTATTTTTTGTGTTCCACACAAAAAATAAATGCGGATGAATTTTCATGTTTGATTTTGCGACAGGTCGTGAGAAAAAATATCGTAGGCGCCGAAAACATTAGCCTATCCAACGCTGCTAGGCTAGGCCTAGCCTTACCTCTATTTAGGTTCTGTTATCACACATAAAAACGGGCGACATGATATTTTCCGTTGCTAGTAATGACACTTGTGTAATATAATATTTCATAGGAATTATTTCAAATTTGTTAAAAAACTGATTCTGACTGAGATTTTGACACTTAAACAAACATATCTCAACCTTAAGAATGTAGAAGCCATTCTGTGTCCAACGCAATGTGCTTTCATTTGAAATAACGATCAGCAAAAATTAATTAAATATGCCTATCAGATAAGTCTATATTTATATACTAAATATACAAAATGTGATTATGATTAGATAAAGTTATTTTGGTGTCCATCCATCCACGAATTTTGTCTTTATCGTTATCCAATTTTGTTTAGTATATCGTTTTAAATTATTATTTATCTATGTTGTTCATGTTATTTAATTTGTTTGGGGAAAAAAAACGATAATTAAACAACAAAACATCATCTAGCATTTTCCTTGAATTTTACAGGCTTACAGCAAAGAAAAACAACCAGTGACTTCCGGTATCATAATCAAATTAAAAAGTGTTTTTATCGACACTGTCCTTTAGGCCGACCAGCCCTCCTTAAACTAACGTTACGTTATCTCACTATATTAATTGGATTAACACATTATCAATGTGTCCTTGGATTCAATTATGGGTAAACGAATTAGTTGCCTTTTTTTATGAGGTTAAATAAAAATATTATAAAAATAGTACAAGTCAAGGGCCGCATCATTTTCGTTCGCAAAATGATAGTACACCAAATTATCACCGTCAGAAAAAAAGTGCGGCAATCCTTTTTCTCCTTAATTCATTTGGTCTTGGTAACCGTATCGTTTTTTTTTTTCCTGTCTGCTCTATCAAAATCAGTGTTGGCAGCCTAATATTGAACAGCAATATTAATACAGTATGTGGATTTCTGTTCTTTAAAATTGAATATGAACCCTATTTATACAAATCTTGTATTATTAATTTTATTATCATAATTATTTATAAACATTAAAATAGTATCAAGTGGGCCACCCGCCACACTATACAAAACTGATATTGTGTAAAGAGCAAAACAGCCTTTTTTCAGTCATTAGATTAAAACAGACGAAAGTTTATAGGCCTCTAAAATGAGAAATTTAAACCGTGGTACTGAGACTGCACGACGATAAGGATAGGCCTATTGGATTTGTCATGTACTTGACAAAACAAGGCAAAAAGCACAGTGGACCGTAGGCCTACATTCAGTGGCGTATCCAGAAGTCTTGAAACGGGGGTGCTGATGGGGAGAGGGGGTGCGAAAGTGAGGTGGGAGCTCTGTGATCAGTTGAGGGGCGCTAAATTGCAAAATAAGGTGATTTAACTACTTGCAAGTGATTTTTTGGGGGCCCGACTGGGGCCCGGCGGGGGGGGGGGGGGAGTAATTTTTGGAGGGGTGTGCGCACCCTACTAGATACGTCACTGACTACATTATTGCAGACGAAGAGTTATTTACACCTTTGCTAGATTTATTTAAGTTAACAGACACGAATCTGTCCACCACCCATATCATTCTCAATTAAACCGAAGATACTTATAGAAATACAAGAGATCAGCGTTACCACTCACAATTTTTGATATACCCAATGACTGGGTCGAAATTACCCAAGATTCAGCAAAAATTGCCCAAAATTACCCAAGCTTCCTGAAAATGCATTGAAATTTGAAAAAAAACCCGTGTTTTTCGCATGTATAGTTTCCCTTTTAGTTAAATTTATAAACTATTTTTTATTGTAATTGTTTGTGTTAATTATTAAAATTAATATTCATGAGGTGATATTACGGATAGAAAAATACGCCCTCAGTCGGCCAGTGGTATCAGTAGATCAGTGATCAAGTTTTATTATGTAATGCATTAATTAGGAAAAAGATCAATGGCAATGCAAATCAATAAACAATTCTGAACCCATGTTTATAGCAATTAACAGTCAATTAACAATGTTTTGTGCACTTCGTTGAGTTTTGCTTAGTTGAATGGACTGAAATATACTTTATTACTTCTTAATTCTTCCTCTATGATAAAAATATTTAATTTTCTTAGTAAAAATAAAATACCCAAGGATTTGAACGGAATACCCAAGAACCCAAGACCAAGTCAAAATACCGAAGATCTTGGGTAAATACCCAAGCAGTGGTCACACTGCAAGAGATAGCAAAAATGAGGCGGAAATTGGTCCAGACGTACGCGGCGCCTGTCTTTTTTTATAATGAAAGTTTTCTATACTTGGTCCACACGTATAGGGAGCCCTCTGTTGGTGTATATAGAGTTCCTGTAACCAAAGAGTATAAAACTGCAAGAGGTCCGACTGCCGGGGATTCTTTGGAACGCAATCCTATTTCAAAAAGTACTACCCAAAAAGGGCGTGGGCATTAAAAGAACGTAAAGTGCGTTCATATCGCACTTTAATATACAAAATAAGGGCAGTTTTATACCCTTTGCTTAACTCTAGCTGTATAGAGTTCCTATATAGAAACTAACTATGTATATCCAGATGCACTCTGCGCCCTTCTTTTTCCACTAATGGATGAAAACTTTATCACTAATCAAAGTCCGGTCATACAATTCTGCACTTTTGTGTCCGTCATTTTATTGTTTCAATTTATTTATGCCTACTTGTTTGTATATTATGGATAATGGCAACGATTTCAACCTCTGCAAAAAGGTTATATATTACATTTATGTAACGGTGGCAGAAGTTTTTCAGATCCAGCCGTACGCGGCGCCCCATTGTTTGTATTCCCACCATGCATTTCGGTGGGACAGTTTTTTTCTGTGGAGAACTCTCTCTTGTGTTTCTAGTATCTTTGATTAAACCCAGTGGCGGATCCAGGAATTCAAAATAGAAGGGCCCCGGGGAGGTATTTCACAGATTGTGGATCCATACCACCTCAGCTCATGGCTGGGGCTGTGGTAAGAAAATTTGTGATTATTTCACCTCTAGATGGCCACTCTCAGACTTAAAATTAAAATTTTATTTTTATTTCCATTTGTTTTAAAATTTTAAACAATTTAGTGGGTGGGGCCCTTAAATAGCACCCTCTATAATTTCTGACTTGACTGTATGGGAAAAAATCATAATGCGGCCAGTCATGTGTGTAATAATAAACTTCGGAAAGATTTTGGATGCAGGACAGGTATTAGGTCAATGGACATCACTTATGGCTGAATTTTATCGTCCATCATAAATTAGAGAAATTGCTATTTTATTTTAATTTTTTAAATACTCGTATTAAACCATTTTACCTTATTTTAAAATATATACATACATATAAATTTGTACATTTTATCTGTGTGAATAATAATTCTACCTGTAAATCTCATTGGTGTGTATATATATATTATATATATGTATATATGTGTGTATGTGTACAATATATATATGCTGTCTCTTATACACATCTAGATGTGTATAAGAGACAGCTACTAGATACGTCACTGACTACATTATTGTGACTTCACTAGAATAACCTTATATTTCATCTTGTACATGGTCTACAATTTCTATTCCATGACATGGGTTTCGAAAAAAACACAAAATGTGAAACAATAATTATACAATTTCTATTGCTTAATCTTAATTAACAGGTTAATTAATTATCCTTCAGCAAAATTAATATTAAGCAAAATAAATGGACGTACTGAAGCAACATAATTACATTCTTAACAAAACTTGATATACAAATATCATTTGTCTGGGTTTCAGTCACAAGAGGATAATGAATTAACATTATAAACACAATGTAACAAGAAATAAGATGGAATTAATTAACAATTCAAAGTTATCTAATGAAGATGCTGATTAAGATTTGTGTTTGTCTTGACTTCAGCTAATGAATAGTAATGAACTGTATATCAAACATGACATTCCAACAAAAATCAGATAATGAAGAGTACTCCATATGAAGAGCCATTGCAATGGACCTACTGAGTGTCAATAAAACTGACCAATCAGAATGTGTTATTTAGTAGATAAGATCAGGAGTAATATGTAAATGTCATAGAAAACACACATTTGTGCGATTATGTAACTTAGCAACAAATGAAATGGGCTTGGAAAAAGGTGGGTCTTAGTGGAACTTTGAACTTAACGTATTACTTAATAGCCAATGTTTTACAATACCTGAAGTAGTAATCACATTTTCAAAAAATATTTGTTAATGTTGACAGTGTTTTCAAAAAATCAGATTTGAGTTGGAGGAATACCATGCCTATACATTAAAAAAGTTTTTGAAACACCCTACAACAGATTAGTAATTAATCAAGTACTCTAATTCAAGGTAAGAAACAAAGATATAATCTTTCAAACAGTGCAACAACTTAACTAAAAACTGTTTTGTTTTTGTTTTTATATTTACAAACAAGAGATGTTTAGGCGTACTGGCACATTCATAGGAAAAAAAAAATTTCTCAAAAATCAATAAAAAAAAATTACAACATAAAAGGGGTGATTTCTCCTGATATAAAATCAAATATTATTAAGTAAACAGAATTTGTACTCCTATAAATTTTGGTTGTGTTAAGTTTAACAAGAATCCCACTCATTTTAATATCACTATGGCACGCACTAGGTGTCAGAGAAAAGGGAATTGCTTCACATACAGATCATGTTAACTTTACTGGATGCATTCCATAATCCATTCTAAACTTTATATAATTTCACCTCAAACCCAATGCCTAAACCAAAATCATATTTGTTTTTGTTAAATAAATACAAAGATCATGAGCAATATATAGTAGCTAAATCAGTGTCAACTTAACATAGTACTTAATTTGCATTTCTAACACAATTTCTTTCCTCTCGTTATGATCCTATTTGTCAATCGTTTTAGCAACATGCAGATAAATAGGCCTGCTGTCAATCAAAAACCAAGTATGTTTCTCCCCCAAAAAGCAAAAATTTTCTTTACAATTAATTTCTTTACTGCTTATAGATATAGTGTACATTTTACAGGAGTTTCAACAAACCTAACATTGTAATAATCTTATATTTTAAATTACATATTCCTATCATTTAGACATCTTACAGGCTCATGTAAGAGATGCGATAGTTGTTTGTTGTACATCTTTAACAGTTGTTGAACTACTTACTTCCATCTCAATTCTAGAATTGTTTTCATTTTGTATATTTAAACTGTTTTTAATATCAAGAATGTTCTCTTCTTCGGTATAAACTTTCACTATTTCCGAACTAGTAATAGCCTCTGTTGTATTCTCCACTTGCGTATTTGATTCACCAATACAATGTTCATTTTCCCTGCTGTCAACATCACCACTTGACTCATCCTCTGCCATTTGCTTCACTGTTTCTAGTTCCGATATTTCAACAACTTTCTCCTCTGTTTCAACAACTTTCTCTTCTGTTTCTCCAACTTTCTCCTCTGTTTCTCCCTCTGAAATATCAACAGTATTTTCCACAGTCTTTCTGTCATCTTCCAGTATTGCTACCGCAGGAGAATCAATAATCTCTGCTTCTGGTTCTACCTGCGGAGTTTTCAAGTCTATTTCAAAACCTACACTAATTTTAACTTCATCCTCATTATATTTAACCTGATTATTATACTGTTGGTTCTCTTCACATTCTAAGGTTTTATTTGTTGATGTTGATATTGCATCCCCTATTTGTACTGGTTCCTCGCTTTGTGTTTCACGTCCAACTTGTTCCGTTTCTTGCACAGGCAACAAATCAGACATGCTTTCTGTTTGTAATGTATTGCCTACAATTTCCTGATTTTCCTTGTTTTCTAAATTTTCCACATCATCACTATCTTTGTTATAGTTTTCCCCATTATTACCTATCTCAATGTCATTTTCCTTTGGTATGTCCTCTAACATGTCGGTATCTTTTATCTCTTCATCACTATCATTCTCATCTGAGGAACTTGAGTCTGCATCATCCACTTCCATTGGATTTTCAACTTCCAATGGTTCCTCAACTTCCATCTCTGCCTGTGGCGAATTTTCTACAGGCGTTGAAACAACAGACACAAACTCATCAACTTCAGCGGGCATTCCCAGTATGTCTGCTTCAATTTTCACACTGGCTGCATCTTCATCGGACTTGGTGCCAGAAGCATAGTCATCGCAATCGTCATCGTCGTCACTATCCTTATCGACCTTGATTGAGGTGACTGGAGAAGGAGCTCTAGGTGAGGTTGATGAGGAGACACTGATGCTTTTACGGAAACTCCTGCTTTGTCTTTTAACGCACTTAACACAGGCATATTCCTCATTTTCTGGGGGCTCTTCTTTCATTCCTGCAGAAAGAAATTTTACAGATATTAAGATTTAGAATTTAAAAGGAAAGACAGATTTGGAATTGAGTTTGAGACACATTTTCTCCATGTCTGCAAACTTGTTAAGCCTCTTTACAAACTTTAGTTACAGAGCATCACCAGGTTCCAATAATTAATTTTGAGTGTACTTGCTAATGGATGTGATAGAGGGGAATGTAAAAATAAGAACATAATATGCATGATTACAAGTCATGTAACAAACACATCAGCAAACTGACCGATCAGGAGACCTGAAAGAAATTGTATCACTATACTTTTTATTTATTTATTTATTTATATTTATTTATTCAGGTATAAAGAGACTCAAAATACAATTCAAGATTGAAATGAAGAGCTTACATAAAATCAATGAAGAAAAATACAGAAATATAAAACCAGCAATAAACATTAGAGAAAAATCTCAAACTACAAAAAAAATTTAATTATTTTTTTATTTACAATTAATATTAAAATATCAATCAGCATAAATTGAATAATTAAATCAATTAATTAGAATTTTAAGTTATTAATATATACAAATTTCATTAAAAACAGTTAGCAGTCATAGCCCTATTCGAACAATTACATTACACATTAAAAAATCAATAAACAAAACAAAACCAGTTCAATTCAGGAAGTACATTGCCAATTATCCACATTAATCTTTATTTAACAGTCCAATAACACTTGGAATAGTGCTGAACATCTTGATACAACAGAGGGTTCTACATAAACTAACATCAACTTTACCTATGCAGAGTAGATGGTACCATAATTCACACTTGTCGCACTGAATCCAGTTGATGTCATCTCCTAGAGGGCGTATACAGTATTTGGCTGAACAGATCTCGTCTTCATCATCATCTCCATCAACAACAACTATCTGATCTTTCTCCCGGTCATTACGACTTTTTATTTTCATACCATCTTTGTCTGTGGAAATAGAAAGACACCAACATTCATGGTAAACTAGAATTATTTCTGGTATATGTTAGACTTACATAGCACTTCATGCCAACAAGGCCTCTAAGCGCTCCACATTATTACCCCCGGTCATTGAATCAAACACATACTCAGCTACCTGGGGAGAATTCCAGAATATTGCAGCTGGAACCTGCACATTTTGTGTTAGGAACTACAAGGTACACTTGTACTCCTGGGTGGATAGACACAACTGTTGGTAAAGTGCCTTGCCTGACACTAAGCAAAATGCACAGCAGGGATTGAACCTCCAAAATTAAGGTTGATAAAAAGAACTGCAATCAATATGAACATCCTGAGCTGTTAACTTATTGAGTGACCGATACGGTGCTTAGCCTCATTAAACATGCAAAAATGGGACAGGATTGACATACTTTCTATTAACAGTACAAAACAACTCAAGATACAAACCTTTGTTTTTCTTCTTTATCTTTTTCTTCTTTTCCTTTCCATCTTTAATTTCCCTCTTTAATCCATCTTTCTCTTTTATTTCTTCCTTTTTCTTTTCTTTGTCTTTGTCCTTGTTCTTCTTTTTCTTCTTTTTCTCTGGTTTAATATTTTCATGTTCATCGTCACTGACTTCTTCTCCTTCCTTCTTTCTCTTTTTTAGTTTCTTTTTCTCCTTACCAAATTCCTGCTTAATTTTAGGTTGTCTGTCAAAGAAGTCGTCAGGAATTTGCTGAAATAAAAATAAAAGACAGAAAATACGAAATTATATTTTAATAAATATACAGCAGTGAACAATAAGAACAAGAGTTTGAAATCCTCACCTCCACAAAATTCTCAATGAAGCGTTCTTCACGTGTTTGTTGGCTTGCCTGAAGAATCCTCAAGATATGCTGTGTTTCATCAAGAGACACCTCTAGCAGGTCACCTTCCATTTTGAGTTCTTCCAGACGTGCCTTAGTCATCTCCGACAGCTCAAGGAATGGTGTGTCTGATGGCCTTTGCACATGAGGTGATTTACGTGGATGCTTCTTCTGGGATACTGGCTGTGAGGTATTTTTTGATGCAGCACTATACGTGTGCTCTGACACTTGAACACTACCAGAATTTGATGGATCATCTGAGGAACTCTCATTCAACGTTGTCAATACAATATCTCCTTCATTAGTGTCATTATCGGCTGCATCTGGCTTAGTTGGCACAGGTGGCATACCATGGAGGATTGACGTCTTGTGAATGTTACTGGTGTCACCAAGGTTGAATGCATTTTGCTTCATGTTCTGCATATGCTCATGAAGTTCTGGGTTGTTTGAAGCTTTTTGAATTTCAGCCGAAATAATTCTCTCAGTCTTTTCTCTTGCTACTTGCTCTTCTATTTTTTGTTTGTGAACTGACAGCTTCGACAGCGCTGAGGCAAGTTCGTCGGTTGCCAAAGCCTGTCGAGCTCTGTCCTGCCAACTCATTGCTCTTTCTGTCAAACACTGCAGAGCTTCACCATCTGGCATCCTTACTGGAAGTTTTTGTAGCGATACCAGCAGAGACAATATCATCTCAAGCCTAGGTCTGCGAGATCTATGGCAAAGAGGACAAAGGAACTTCACATCCCTTGTTGAGAGCTGATTTGATGAGCCTGAAGTTGTGACCTTGGTTTTGTTATTGTTGTTCTTAGGTAATGGAACACATGTGCTATGGAACCAGTCTTTACAGAGCTCACACTGCAGCATAAAGCCAGAAACACCCTTCCTGCAGATGCAATATTTTCCTTGTTCTTTATTCTCCTCTTCAAGTTGTTGTTTTCGAAGGTTCTTATCTCTTAGGTTTCTCATTGCATCTAGCTCCTTAGCCTCCTCCTCTTTAAACTGTGCTACCTAAAAATGAACAATGAGATAACGGTATTATTGACAAAACAGAAGGAGCCTTAATAATTAACTCACTGTCACAATATATAGTTCCCTGCCAAATACGTTATATTCCATGATAGAAACCACTGGAATAATCAATGACAACACAATTTGATACATGATGAGGTAATACACAAACATAATACACTATAGTTCGTCAGGTATAAGACCATCTCAGGTACAAGTGAATATTAACCAAGCCCAACTAAAAGCTCACCCGTTAACTTTTGAGTAATTTTTATGCAGAATGCTCTACCCAGGTACAAACCCACACTTTAAATTATGAGGTTTGGAATAGAAATTCTACACATTGTTAGGACTTCAGAAGACTAGACCAATCTAGGCCAACAGGCTTTGTACTACTTGCAATTTCTAGTCCTCTTTTAAATGAACCCAATTACATATTTAAAGGTGGGCTTATATCAAAGGAACTATGGTATATTATTTAAAACACCATATTTTAATGTAAAGAATGCATATGATAAGCTTACAAATACTGCAGGATCTCGACTTTCTTTAGATTTCCCTTCTACAATGGAATCTCTCTCTGTCTCCCTCTGCTTTTCCATCTCCTTCAGCTTTTTCTTGCGGCTCTTGTTTGACTGTAGGTTACCAATGTCAGTCCTCGGCAGAAGAACCTCCAACAGACCAAATGGCGAGTTCTTTTTCAAGAATGTTCTCGAAGTTCGTTCTTTCCACGACCTCGCTGAAGAGACTTGGGATTCTACTTGCGGCATCTGTTCCAGGCGCACCGGGATCGGACGACCTTTCATCACCATGCTCTCCAAAACATCCACATATGGAAAATGCTCCCCATTCTATCAAATTAAAGGAATGAATATTAATTAAATAAGTGAAGGTACTTAAAGTGATAAACTTGCATAATAACTTTAAAGTGGTTTTTGAAACATTTTCTTTATTCATTATTAAAAAATGTTTCTGGGACTGGTAGGACTCTAACCCCAAATGTGATATACAAAAGCAGGTACAGTACTGTAGATGAAACAATAGTATAATATTCTATTCATTATATGCAATGATTGAGCCCATGTAAAATGGGATGGGGAGGGGGAGGTGTTTGATTTACCCTGTTATGTATAAAAAAGAAATTGTGAAAATAGAGATCAATGGCATTCCAAAAACACCAAAATCCAGATACAAACAAATGCAGTGATTGAGTTTGCTTGTTTACAATGCCAGTGTAACACACGCATGCACTATATACATCAAGTCCATTACAATGCTCTGTATGAGAATAGGAAACAAACAAGTTAAACTAACCTGAACCTCTTCAACTTTTCTAGACCACTCTTTAGCTTTCCTCATGGCTTCTTTTAAAGCAAGGATGTTGGGCAGATAAGCTGGAATGTGCTTGGCTTCGTTGATTATTGCCTCTATGGTAGCAACCGCATGACGGGGCCTACATGAAAAAGGTGAGAACTAAGTTACACTAATTGAATGCGTCGTATGGATAACAAGTAAAAGTAAATCCATGCCAAACCACTTGGGCTCACAGGGCTGGAGCTTATCGCTAGTTTCCGTAGCATGAGGCGGATGAGAGTGAATACTCCCCCTGGGTGGGGCGCTGGTCCACCGCAGATTACTCACAGCAATTTGCTGGTACCCATTGATACAGTTGGGTAGACTGAAGCAATGCAGATAAAGTGCCTTGCTCAAGAACACAAACAAAATGTACAGTGAGAGATTGAAACCCTGACCTCGAGGTTGGGAAACCAAGCCATTCCCACTGCGCAAAACCACTTCCACACCTGGATAACAAGTATAATACCAATATCAAATGTCTATATGAATATTATGTTTTACCAACATTATAGTTATGAATAAAATAATTCAAACAAAATTCCAAGACGTCCTACCCCTTCCAGTCCTAAGCACACTTATGTTTTGTTTGCTTTAATAGGCGCTTTAAAAATGTGTATTATTATTTATGTTCCTAACGCCGTTCTTGTCGCTAATTCCTTTCTGTCAATAACTTTTTTCCTGTCCTACCCCTCCCTCTTACAGTTTTTATAATAAGTCACATTTCATCCTTTTACTTGCTGTAAAATAAACAAGATTATGATACAAACAATACATGTTCTTACTTTGCTTGTAGACATATTTTAGCTTTCTCCTCCCACCTCTCACTGACTGTTAAAAGCTCCTGCAGCTCGGCCATTGCTTTCTCAATGGCTGGGTGTGGTGCTAGGCAAACCCCAGAGTCTATTAGCATACGTAGTGCATCTAGAGTTATATTATCAGGGACAGACAAACTGCTCCTGACCTCATCCAGCCATCGCGCTTGTTGCAGCCCCTAAAACAAAATGAAAAAATAAAATTCAAGAAAAAAAGTTCTTATAATCTCAAAAGCTTCGATGAGGGCAGTATAATAGAGGTAGTAGGGCTAAAAAAGAGATTGATTAATCAATCAAATATTGATCAATCAGCTAAGTGTTTAGAGCTCCTCATGAGGGCAGTATAGTAAATGCAGTAGATCGAAAAAATTATCTATTAATCAATGAGCCTCATGAGGCAGTAAAATATAGGCAGTAGAACTAAAAAAAATCTATTGATAAATTATCGTCAATCAATTATGTTACATATTAACACATTTATAAGTTTTTGTTTGTTGCTATATTTCAATACATGCTGAAGATGCTTGTATAGCTTCTATTTGATCGAGTCATGATACATGTAAATATAATAATGATAACATATATTTATATGGCGCCAATTCAAAATTTATCAAAGGCGCTAAGCGAGGAAATAAAGCAACATTCCTGTAATAAAATGTTTTTAAGACTTGTCTTTAAAAGAAAGCAAATTAGACGAATCACTAACTGAAAGCGGCAAGGAAAAAAATATTTACCAGTTTCAGTTTTGGCATCTCGGGTAATTCAACATCAAGATCAACACCGATTTCCAGCAACTTCTTTAGTTTTTCCGAGTCTGGAGCAGCATCGGCAAGAGCATCTTGAGCGTCAGCTTGGAACGTCTCCACTTTCTCCAGCAGATTCTACAGAATGATATAAAAAAAACATCAAATATTTATTGTCAATTGTGGCATCACCAAGCTATTATGTGTTTATAATTATAATAAAATAAAGTAGATGAAAAACCACGATTGTGAATGGAGAACCAGGATGGTAAATAAAACTGGCACATTCTCACTCATTATTAGTGTAATCCCACTGCCAATTCTCTTAGATTGAATTCTAAAGTCCTTAAAGATTTTGCTTGACAGCATATGCTGAGGTAGATAAATTTAAGATATAAATCATTCAACAATAGAAATCTATTTATTTAGTTAACACCAAGACTAGTAGTTGTTGTATGCAGTGTAAATGTAGTAATTACTTAATATTTTTTTAAAAATCAATGTAGAATTAAGTAGATTTACCTGGATTATTTCAGCCTCTTTGATTTCACATGGTAGATTACTAACTTGCTCCGTAAAGCACTGAAGTTCCTCCAATGTGAGACGTGCATTGTACTTGCATTCGCCTGAGTTTCTGTTTCTGAAAAAAACATTGCAAACAACAAAACTAATCGAGAGTTCTCAACTGACCAAGAAAATATACAATACATTGTGCACAACATTACATTGATATATTTTATTAGCTATTTATCAGATATGGTGAAAAATAAAAATATTCTAGATCATGTTAACAGAAAGGAGGATGCGGCAGTCAAATTTTGTGATTATTTGAATGATGTGAGGTTAAAGACTAAGGTTGGGCAATAGACCATTCTGGAAAAACTGACAACCCATTTACGTTGTCATTTTTTCCCCTAGACCTTAGCAACAATATTCTCGAGGGCAGGCTTACTGGACTGGTCCAATGTCTGTGTTCTTTGGAAAGACATTGTATCCATGTTGTTCACATCTCTCTCACGCTTGCTACTCATGACTTTAAGTGGCTACTTTGCAGGTTTGAATCTCAGTGCACTAATTACATTGCCGCAACATTATGGTACAACAATTTGCATATTTTGAAATGGAAAATAATATAAATGTCAAGCAGAGGGTTAATAGATGGCGCAGTATCTTTCAAGTAACAATAACAACAACAATAATAATAACACTTTTATAAAGCACCTAATGCAAAAAATAGCCTCAAAGCGCTGAAAGATGCCAATTGAAGTTAGGTATATCGCATAAAGAGGTAAGTCTTTAGTGCCTTTTTAAAATGTGAGCGACGAATTTGTTCTCACCTTGTGCGGTGCTTCTTGCTGACAAGTTGAGTAGCGACTGTTGCACATTTCTCTGCATCCGAGATGGCAGTCATCAGCTGTTGCAGGAGATCATTGTCAGGAAATTTCTTCTCATCTGCTTCTGAAACCATCTCTTGTAGTCCAGATATTTCTAAATAAAAAAATATTTGGTTTAATATTTGTATAGTTGCATATTGTTAAAATACATTACACTAATCTAGTATTAGCAAAGGTTTTTATTTAAATCAACCAAAATAATATTTTTCTGTAAGTGGGTGATCATCTCTTACAAATTTCATGTCTGTGTAGGCTAATTGTTTACCTAATTTACAGTCTTTGGTTGCATTGAGGGCGCTTTTCACTTTGTTAGCCCAATTATCAAATGATTCCGCTCTCATCTTCAGCCTATGCAGCATTCCCGGTAGTTCATCAAGAGTATAACGATACCTGTTAACAATTTAAAATAATGGAAATTAATAAAAGTATTTAAATAAAACATTAAGTTGTCCTTTTTAAAAACATGCTTAAAACTGCCAGAACAATTATTTCAAATTTTAAAAAAAAGGTTTTGAAGTGTTTTAAAGGTGAATACTTTCTATTGCATTAATAGCTTTTGATGTCATCATTAAACTTGGAATATGGAATTCAGAGAATGTTAACATTTATAATTTAAGTAATTCTAGTAATTCTTTATATGTTTATTATGATTTTTAGTTTTATTTAAGCGCGATACCATATTGTAGAAATACTGCGATGGTGACTGGTGGGGTATAGTTTTATCTGTAGTTAAGTTGATCCATTTTGCATGGGGCTTCATAGCAAAAAGCCTTGCTTGTTTTGAATTATCCTTTCCATTTATCATCTCTGTTCTTACATTTATACCATGTTGCTTGTTTTTATTATGTTATTTAATGTTTGAATTTAAATTGGAATAAAGTTATACTTGTTACTGGTTCTCTTCACTGCCTCTTACCTTAAACAATGCTTTGAAGGGTGACACCTGCAAAGCATATCCACATCATGAATGCAAACAAGCTTATTGGTCGAACAATGACATGTGACAGCAGACAGGAAACAGGTGGTCTTGCAGAATTCACACTGACGCTCATCATCTGGTAGAAGTTCAAACGCTTCACGTTCAGCTTCAATAGTTCCCTGCAAGGTAACGCCGGAAACAATAATAGCAATAACTATAATTCATATACTTATTTTATATAACATCATGATGAAATATCATATTTTCCAGTTTATAGGAGATTATTAACTTAGTAATAGACAAATTAAACTTTTTTTTTATTAAAAGAAAGCACATTTCTATATATTTCCCAATTGCACTAAGAATCATGTCAGTTTAGCTGAGTTTAGCTGACTTTAGCTGTATAGGGATTACTACACCAAGAACCAATACTTACATAAAAAAAAAAAAAACAATTAGAAATTACAATGTAAATGGTTAGCGATATTCAACGTTATGTCTATACATATAAACATAGAAGCGCTTCGTAAAATTCTTACACGCTCAAGTAACTTCTTGCGCAGCTTCTTTTCCTTGTCCACCATCGAGAGCATCTCTTTATGGACAGCTGCTGCCATGTTAAGATCAAGACTCTCTGGATCTGCTGCCATCTTGCAGACTAATTCCTCATGTGAGAACACACAAAAACGATGCAAGGTACGATAGTTCTCAATACACAGACGACCAATGGGTAGCTGTAGAAAAACATAGGAACAAAATGATAAAAAACAATAACATGTTTCTGCTTTTGCTTGTTTGAAGAGTAGAGAATGAGACCCCACTTATTTAAACCGCAAGAGATGGATGTATCACGAATACACACAGCTGTATAGCTAGGCTACTACTACTACTTAGATTTTGCAGAAATTTCTTGGTATTTTGGCCATATAAGTCAAAAAGAGGCATCTACACTTCCACACAACCACTTTAGTTTAATATCTATTGAAAAAATCTTTTAACCAAAATAGCGATTCAAAAAAACAACTGCATTTTAAAAAGTGAAAATTAGGAAATAACATGAACATCATGTGAAAGAGAAAGACTAAATACAGCTCTTTTTATGAGTTGAAAATTACTAGACTTCCTCCCTCAGTGCGTACCCAATCAGATGGACAGAAATTGACAGCTTCAGCAAAGTTGTAACCTTGGTTGAACCCACTGTGGTAGGATCGTGGGAATGTAACAACAAACTCCCCTGCACACTGGTTTGTACGGAACACCTAAAAGAAAGAAATTCAGTTCAATTTTTCAATTCACATCTACATCACCATTTTCAGGCATATTTTTATTACACCATAATACACCACTTCAAGCCCTACTATTCAAGGACAGTCATATCAAGGGGACACTTTTCCGCATGTGGTAGAAAATACAATAGAAGTGTCGATTTGACTGAAAAATAATTATTTTTGGGCGATGGCATCCTAGTTGTTGCCATGGATCTGAGATAATGTGTTCGTGTTACGCCAAAGTTTGCTACCAAGTACAATATTGTTCCTTAATTGTTCTAAAGAGAGGGTGCATTGGAAATCGACGATTCTAACTGTTACACGCAAAAGTAAAATCATGCAGTGTACACTATGGTCAGAGTTAAAAAGTTTTCACTTTTGCAAGAGGGCGCCGCACACTGCTTTATTACAGAATTTGTATGCGAAAATCGCGGAGAATGCTATCTGGTGTTTATAAGATCTTTGCTACACATCTAAGTACCAAAATGGTTAGTTAACACCATTGTGTATTTTAAGTATTTATATTGCATTGTAAATTTCATGTGGCTTTTATGTGCTTTATATATTAATATAACATTATTAAAACACAATTTGAAATGACGTACAGGTACGTTATTTTTGCGAAGGATGGTGGGCGAGATGATGGTAACCAACTGGTGCAGAAGATCTGGTTGAGATTCAAACAGTTCGGGAGCATTTTTCTTCATCACCTTCTCAAAATCTTCAGCAGACGAAGCAGGAACGCCATACCAGGTTTTTGGTTCTCCCCTATAATGATAACCACAATAATGATAACAAATTTGTATTGATGTGTACTTTAATATATTTATTCATATTCTGCCAGGTTTTCAAATGTATTTCCATTTCTCATGATGGACATTAAAGTACATTAGTATGAGTATCATCATCAATAATTATTTCAGAAATCAACTTAAAGCTAAAAAAACAAAAAAAAAAACATAAAAGTTATTATGTTGAATTACAAAAAGTGTAAAACAATGTCATATAAAACATTATACATAACTATAACACTCTTTGGAAAAAATTGGGGATCGCAGTCAAAAGGGAACAACCGGAAATAGGTTTTGGGTCATCTTTGGTGTGTTTCACACCTGATCATTATTATTATGTAAGCTTATGTTGAGAAGTGTGAACTTACCAATGAAGATAATTGATAGAATAACTCCAGTGGTCTTCTGTATGCCAACAGAACGATGAGAAGCACATGCCAACATACAACCAGGGAACCTTCATGCCTGAGATATCAGAGCTGATGTGACACAACACTGACGCATCAAGAACTGGAAGATTGTTGAGGTTCCATCCAGCACTAATATAGTCCTGTGAGAAAAAAGCCAGATAGTAGTATTATAGCTAGAATATTCTAATCTACAAGATTTTGAATAACTTTAGTTTAGCACCTGTAAGCAAAAAAACTTCAAAAAATAAAATTTAAACATAACTCATTAAATGCTTTCAATGAGACACACATCAAAATAACAATGTCCTCTCTTTTATAGAATTTTCAACTGAAGTTTATTGAATTACTATGTTCTATGGACTATATGACTTGCATCATATCTTGATTTATTGGTAAAAAAAAATATTTTCTTGCAATTTGTAATTGCTCAACATACCTCATCCTCTGGGCTGACATTCTCGTTGTCCCTGGTTGGAAAACCACTTCCGTGATCCAAAGAATGGATATCAGCTCCATACATCACTGTCACATCTTCGTCTATGGATGTCACAAGTCGCCAGAACTCCTTCTCAACCATTTCAGGTGGTACCATCTAACAACAATAATAATAACAAGAGTCAAGCCAAGCCAAGCCAAGCCTAGCCAAGCCTAGCCTAGCCAAGCCAAGCCTAGCCAAGCCAAGCCAAGCCTAGCCTAGCCAAGCCAAGCCAAGCCTAGCCTGGCCTAGCCTAGCCTAGCCAAGCCTGGCCTGTAAGCAAAAACTAACGATTACATTTAACTCTGGGGTTAATATCCTAACAATGGGCATAATATACATTATGCAAATGGATCTACAATCAAAAACATATTTTTTTTTATTCATTATTTTATTTAATCATTAACATTTTTTTTTTAGGTTTAGGCAAGAGATTTGGTTTCATTACTGGTATTGATATAAGCAGTTATAATGCGCCTCTTCTATATTTCCCTGATCATCGGGTCCATATTTAAGTGTTGCTGCTGGGAATCAGCGTAGGAACAGGCAACCCTACCAGGTACCCATTTATACTGGAGAGATGCAATGCAGATAAAGTGCCTTGCTCAAGGACACAAGCGAAATGCACAGCAACATTAAGGTTGGAAAACCAAACCGTTCCTGCTGCGCCAAATAGCTTCCACAAAGAGATGGGCACTCCGGCCTGTAAGCATAGAGATAAGTTTTCACTTTACCTTTAACAACATTTTTATTTGTCAAATATATCTTACCTACTAACATGAAATTACCAGTTTATTTGAATTATAAAAAAAAACAACAGCATCATAAATATATAAAATGTAATTGATTAAGGCAACTTACATGCACTGGCATATTGAAGTAATCTGTTTTAAACTGGTCAGCCATCTCACCAAACGACTGTAGAGTGTAAGGTCTAGCTGCCTGCTCAAAGCCAAATGGGTTTATGGGCTTATTCACCTCTTCCAAAACACACCTAGGACATCGCCAGTCCCCCTTGGGCACCTCTGCAAGAGGTGGCATAAGGCAGAATGTATGGAAACTATCGTCACATCCCTCGCACAAAAGTAAACAATCCTCTTTGTCTCCTTTGGCACAAATGTGACAGACCAGTTGCTCGATCTGAAAAAAAAAATGATAAATAATTTATTTTTTTCCTCTTGAAGGCTGTTCAGCCAAGAAAAAACTATTCAGGCCTTTGAAGGGACAGCTAAACCTAGGCTAAGCCTATTGTTGTCTTGGACTTAGGAAAGCAGCCGTCTCAAGTAACATACTAAAGTAATGGAAACCCCAGACCCAACACCTACAATAAAATTAATTAATTAATAAAATACACTTACAAAACTTGTACTAAGAGCACCAGTCCTTGCACGCAACCCTTTTGTCACAGTCTCCTTGCTGTCTTTCCTTGGAGATTTTGTGTCTTGTTTTACGCGATGACCTGAATCTTTCTTTACCTCCTTTTCCGGCTTACGTTCTGTTTTTATTTCCTCTGGATAAATAAATATAGTAATTTGAACCATGATTTTTCTAACATTTAACATAATGAAGACAAATTGGGCACAACATGTACATCACTGTATTACATTTGATTACTTGATAGTAGAGACCCTCAAAGCTTGGCTAAAGAGCCCCTCCAGTATGGGCTGCCATATAAACATAATTTCATATATTTAAATAACTAAAGGTACTTAAAGTGATATCCTCACATGTTAATCACAAAGTGGTTTTTAAAAATGTTGCTTGCTCATTCATAAAAATTATATTATAAACAATGGGGAAACTTACCTTCTGGATGCTTTTCACCTTTTAAAATCAAACCAAGACCTTCAAATTTTGGTCCTGCTCCATATAGTTGCAGTTTCTTCAATTCTGGATTAGTGGTAATGTCAATTGTAGATGGGTCCGACCCCTGAAAGTAACAATGTGATTATAATTAAGACTTTTAATCAAAACATGATCAACTAAAGAGACGTTGGCAAATGGAGAGGAAAAAAAAAAACGTTGAACATGCGTGAATAATATTTGCAAAAATACCCACCTCAGGAGCTGCTCTCTTATAACGACGACTGTAACCGTTTGACTTGACCGGAGCCCTGGAGGAAATCCCATGTGACACATACTCTTTGGCGTCTTTCACGTCTGCATCTTCTATATGTAACTGACAAAATGAAATCGCAGAGAAGTTAAAAGTAGGTTATTAAAGTATAACAAAAAGACAACAACAATGACAACTATCATTAATAAGATGAATAAATATACTGCGAATGGTTCTTCAATATATATAGACTAAAAGTTCTGAAAGTTACATGGCAGTTTCGGTCGCTGACAGCTACCATTATCAAATGACTGGATTGTACAGGAAAGATACATCTCCAGCTTGCCGACTGTCATGTAAGTTTCAACATTTTTAGTCTATATATTGAAGAACCATTCACAGTATAATAATTCAATTAAAGACTAGATGAAATACTTCCAAGTATTAAGATGAATAAATTTTAAGAATTACATAGTAGGTATTTACTAATTTACCTTATAGTTAAAATTCATTCAATATCCTAAATGAAGAGTCCAGTAGATTGATTGACTTTATTCAATATTTTCGCACACGGTACATTAATAAAAAAGCATGAATATCAGTAATATAATTTGTTTATAGTATACTTTGTGACTTGGCCCCACTGGGATAGACAAATTGATTTTTTTAAACTAAAATAATCCCATACAAATGATGTATAAAACCATTAATGAATATTCAAATTTTCCCATGCACTAGCAAGTAACATGGTCATAATACTGGACTAATCAATATTCACAAATATGAACATTCATATATAATTAAAGATATGTCCAAAGACTAATGAATGATTAATTTTTTTTTTCACATGTGATATGGTTTGCTAAGCAAATTGCTTCAATAAGTAATGAATACAGTTTTCTATGCATACCAGCCAGCAAACCAACTAAGGGTTATAGAATAATGAATATTCACTAATACTTCAGATGCTTTAGCCAAGCAACGTAATCAAATCGACCTAGGTTATTAAATACTAACATTACAGATGACCTACCAAATTAAAATAATCCCACTGACCCAGACTTAAAAATAGTTACTAAATTTTCAAGTACCACTGCAGACCTAAAGTGCTACATATTAGTAATCATTCATTAGATGCATAGTCAAATTAGTAACATGACCTAAATGACCTTCAGTTATTATTGATGCATTCATAAACAGCTTCAAATTACGTCAATTGACATGTTTGCAGCCTATCATAACATTCACAATGGGATCTTCTGCTAGTATGGTGAAGAAGGCAATGAAATATTCTGTTTTCAACCTTTAGATGGCTGAGAGCTCAAACCAGAACCACTACGCCAACTACAATAATACTTTCTTAAATACTTTATTATTGTTGAGTGGATTTGAATAGCTTGGCAGTTAAAATGCTTGCCTTTCAATCCCAGGGTCCTGGGTTCAATTCCTGTCATGACCAAAAACAACTCCACTCATATTAAGATTTAGTTTGTGTAAAGAATCGTGTGTGTGTTTGTCTTATGCAAGGGATTGTCACCTACAAGTAGGACAGTGATATAGTCGCTAGTGACAATCCTTGGTGCATATGCATTGTAAATAAATAAATAAATAATATTTAGTAAGGCCAATCCTTGGTGGATATGTATTGTAAATAAATAAATAGGTGCATATATATTGTAAATAAATAAATAAATAAATAATATTTAGTAAGGCCAAATAAAAAAAAAATTACTAGCGTCTTGTCCCCTTGGACATCCATTTTCTCTCCTTCACCAATTAAAAAAAAAAAAATTATTTCCTTTATATTATGAAATGTACAAAAATCTGGCTAACTCGCATCAGTAATATTCCTCACTCGATCGTTAGTGGTTGGGGATTCATATGGTATGAATCATGTCTAGTGCTTCTTTTATTTGCTTTCAATGTGTCTGCTTGGTAAAAGTGAGAAAGTAGTAGCTGTTTCCCATAGACCATCTAGGATTTGCCCTCTTGGAGTAAAGTGCTCTCATTCCCCTTTTTTCAAAATATTAGAATGAGAAACTACTTTTTCTTTTTACTTGGCCTTAGGATACTTACATCTTGTGTATTGGGCATGCTCCCACCTGTTACAAAGATGTCATGAGGCCAAATCATCTTCTCGTAGTGTTTCATGAGTTGCGATCCAAATTGCTTTCCAGTGACATAACCAAGCTAGATGTGGGCAAATGAAGGTTAAAGGTTAATAGAATTTCATTAGCAAGCAGTGCTTTTGAGTGATAGACAATTTTAATTGATCAGCATTCTCACCTAAGATTCAAGAATAGTTAGCCAATTAGATGGATGCAAATTCAAGATGTTTAATTTTTTGAGAATGAAAGTAGCTTCACTAACTTATGAATACTTGAACATCCAACCCTTATTATCAGCACTGATAGTAATGTAAAAATGGGATATACAACCACACATACATGTAATTTAATTTTAGAAAATTGGTTTTCCATTACTACATAACAATATATTTTATGTGGAACAATTTATCTCCATCTTTTAACATAAATGCTATCTTTAGTAGTCGATACTTCCTGTTTCATTCCAAACGAGCCTTAAAACATCTGTTTATTGAAGCTTTTGAAATTAGTCGATGGACTGTTAATAATACTATTTAAAATTATATATTTGGAAAAGTGATGGTTGTTCTTACTACAACCATAATTACTATACTGTAGACTCTAATAATCATACATAATAAGTAAATTCCTTATTCCTTTTAAAAGACTTTTCTTGAGCATGTTAATATGCACACTTGACAAAGAAGCTCAAGATCCAATCAGAAGGAAGAGGAAATCTGAGCAAAGTAGTTGAGGCTAGTACATGGTCTGTCTCGCACTTTACAAAGTCCAGTTCACTCTAATGGAATATATTACTAGCATATCAAAATTGATTGCAACTTACCCGAGATGCAACTTTGTTCCATTTCCGCTCCTTTCGACATAGTTCAAACCCACCTTCCTCTTCAACAACCTGCAATGAAAGAATACAGTTAAAACATTACAACTGATTGTTGATATAATGATGATAATACCGTAGAAATTATTATATTGGTAAAGTGCTGCGAAAAGGAGTGAAATAGAAAAGCTAGGATGGGACAAAAATAGTTGGGACAGTAATAGTAAAAAATAGTTATATGAAGGAGATAGTTAATGACAGAATATACTAATAGAGTAGGGTAGAAGAATGAGAGGGATATTATTAATGGAGAAATTAAGCAGTACTACCTTGTGTAGGTTATAAAGATCCACAGACTTGCCGCCAACATTTGGGATACGCAATCGACAACCCTGAAAATAAATAGATATACATTTTTTTTTTTCATATTCCAGCTATACCAACAGAATTTGATAGATCACCTTATAGCATGACTTGATACTGTAACTCAATATTACAAAAATACATGGAAAATTCCAGTACACATCAAATTTATGGCTGATTTAAAATAGCTGCCTGTTTGAAAACTGGGATACAACTGGGAAAATATTTCTTTGGGTTGACAAAATATGCCTGTTATAATTTAGAAAGAACACCACAAAAAGATGCTTCTTCAAGTTAAAATGCAATAGCTAGTCTGCCTCTGTCAGGTGACTTAACTAAAAAAATCTTCTTCAGTGGCACTCCTTCTAAGCCTACCTCTCGTTCAATTGGCTACTAAAACTTAAAGGCCATCCAGTTTAAAAATGTTTTCCATAAAATTGATGCAAGTATTTCTATTTACAGTATGTATAGATTTGTTTTTGTACTGAATTACAAAATGTGAATTAACTATACTTTACTTGTTTTGTCAGCTTTCGGTACTGTAGATTTTGGTTCCAGGCCAAGATTTTGTCAACTTTACAACATTATGTCACTCACAGAGCACATCGTAAAGTGAAGTATGTCATAAATAATAGCATTTGAGCCCATTGGCGGCTCTAGCATATATTTTCTGAGGGAGGAGGCTAAGCTGTCCGATAGGGGAACTTGAGCTGGTAGGCCCAAGCTGGGAGAAGGCTTTGAGAGGGCCCCCTCCCAAATGAGATTTTTTCAAGAATAGGAACCTCTGGATAGTCGGAAATGGCACTCTCAGACTGTGACAGACATGTGTTGGCTTAGTGAATGGGCCTATTTTTAATGGTCTGACTGCCCGACGAGCTCTGTCCGACAGGAGGACTTGACATGTCCGGTGAGGTTGACCTGTCCTGGGGGGCTTAATCCCCCTGCCCCCGCTGGCACCACAACGGTTTAAGCCTAGCCTTATTTCCAGAACTACATTGCTGTACCAATAAGCATTTATTGTGGATAGTAATTTGCATAATTAGGTGTCTTTAGGGCTCATCATAAACAGTATGGACCTCTTTGCTAAGTTCCACCCCTTAGATACTATTGCTAAGGTCCACCAAAATGACAGCGCGAAAACATACGAGCACACATGCGTTTGTGGGACAACATATGTGTGCGTATTCATGGCCCTGTTCTGCTTAGTCAGTTGTGAAGTTTAACTGAAACTCCAGAAATGTCCATTATAGATTGAGGGTGCACTTGACTTTTCTTTTTCCAAGAACACTCATCAAAAAAACCATTTGATTTCGTTTACCTGCAGTTCCCAAAACTTGGCAATTGTATCAAGGTAGTTGAGTTTCACTCTTGTTTTGGCCTGGAAGATAAAAAGTTAAAAAATAAGCATAACAGGCGTTTTATGTTTATGAACTTGACGGGTCAAACAATTAAGTGCTCACACAACTTTTTGATATCGTTGTCATGGTCACTGGTTAATTTAATACTGTACTTTGATACTACTATCTACTAAATGGTTTAGCAAGATTGAATTTAATGGTAAATCGTGTTTCATTTTTAACAATTACAATTACATGGCTTCAGATTAATCAAGGCAGTTTCAATAGTTGCAAAGTCACTACCAAACTAAATGACTAAGCACTAATACAGTTCTAGTAAGATTAAATTTGAGAAGTTAATGAATATTCATATGGTTCATCTTTCTCTTAATCTTATATCATGTAGATGTGTCAAGATTAAAATGCGAGCCCAGTGAAAGCATTCACATGAATTGAAAAACTTGTTTCAAATTTCATGCTACACATAATACTGTACAATGTATCCATCTCAGGTTTTTCTGATTTAAAAAAAAAAAATTAAACAAGACTTAAGCTTTGTCCTCACTTATCGAATCTGATGTGACAAACCTGTGATATGCCCATATATAGGTAGGCTTAGATAGTAGTAATATGACATCATCATGTCTATAGGAACATTTATATTAATTTGTCACACAAAATTTACAGTGTGGACAAAGCTTATATTAAGCCATGAAGTTTTGTATTCACTGTTGTTTTTTAGTAGAATTATACCAAAAACTAATGAATGGGATCATTATAAAATTTATTTGAACAGCATAGTACAGCCCACATACATTGGCCTAAGAGGTGATTAAATTTTGGGTTGAAAAGGTCAAATGTCAAGGAAATTTTAAAAATCACATTAATTAATAACAATGATGCAACAACCAATGAATGAAAATAAAAAAGGTTATTAAATTTTAGGTTGTGAAATGTTGAAAGTCAAGATTACAGAAAATAAAATTTAAAAAAAACAGAGTGAGAGTTAAGTCCAATGCATCTACAGTAGTTTCTGTTGTGTTCTTTATAAACAAAAGATCACATCCAAAGTTCAAGAGGTCACTAACTTAGCAAAATCAAAGTGCGAAGTACCTGTGTGGGCCCAGTCACCTGACAAGTGACCAGTGTTTCAAGAATTACTGTAGTGTACGACAGTTTCACATTCAACTAGAATGATGATACAGTAGGAACCCAAATTACGAACCCAGATTTAACGTAAAATCAAGGTGATGACATCATTAAAAGTGAAGTGAAAAATTTAAAAAAAAAATTTTTTTTTTTTAAATCTAACGCCCAAGGGAGCACAGTTGGATTCGTCGGCCGATGATTGTACGGCCGTCTTACAACTGGCTTAAGTGCACTGATGAATTTTTTTGTCTAATTTAGAATGAATACTTTACATTAAAAAAAAAAGAGAAAAGAAACCAAAAATATATTTAACCTAAATACGCCATAACATGTTGATGTCAAATATTTAATCTCAATACTCTAGACAGCTTGTAAATAAATTATGGTAACACTGGTAATAAATCAAACTGTCCCAAAACTATGCACTTAATAGAAAATTCTTGGATCAAAGATTTCCTTCAGAATAAAAATCAATATTTTTCCAACAACAAATTTTCATTTTTATTTTCAATAACTTAAAAAGACCAAGCATATGGCAATTATCTAGGTAATGCAAATTAATTAGGAAGAAAGGTTATATCAATAACAAAACATACAGTATGGTTAATATTTTTAAAATCTGATTTCTGGGATTCTGGGAAGAGTGAGGGTCCTTCTGGTAATAAATTGGGCAGTTCGCACGGAGACATTACCCTGCTTTTTTCTGAAGTGTATACTACAGTACTTTATTGTACACATGGGCTGATGTCATTTGAGTTGTGGGAGTATGTCTCACAGAAATCAGGATGGCCTCATGCACTCCTGCAAAGATCTTCTGGAAAAATAACCTCCCATTTATGAATTTCATGTGGGGAACTTCAGTAGTGTGGGGACCTTCAGTAGTGTGGGGACCAAGAATGTGAGGACTAGTACTGTATAGTGGGGACCTGGCATGTAAGAGCATAGAAAATGTGGGGACCTACTGTAGTGAGTACAGAGGCTACTGTAGCATGAGAAAGCTACTGTAGCAATATCAAATCTAGGTGTAGGTTTCAAGTGGAATCTACAGCCCATGAATTTCACGTCGGCAACTGGCAATTGCCGACCATATTGCCGAGCCAGAATTGCCAGCGAAGTGATATTTCCCATGCTAAAGATAACGTTAAAATTACATTTACTTTGGCAATTTTCTTACGTAAAACATATTATACTACACTATTAAAATAATACAAGTACAACCATTCTTTTGCCAACAATATATTGATTTAATAAGGATAATTAACAAAACCACAACCTGTAGATGACGATGTAAAGTCGAGTGTTCGGAAAAATCGTAGATTGTACTAGGCTCAGGTAGTAAAAAAATTCAGACACTGCCGACCTCGAAGAATTTAAGGTTGGAAAATTTTTGCCCACCTAATTTTTTTCCAAATTTCATGGGCTACATCTAGGGCCTCCTATACAAAGGAAGATGGGGAAACTAAAGGGCAAGTTGTTTTTGATATCAGTAGATAGAAACATGGAAACGCAGTAATATACCATGAAGGGCTAGTGTTGGAGCCACCACTGACTAGTAATGTACTTTGCCTGTATAGTACTACAATCCATTGCTTTCAGTGACACAAAATGCATTCAACGGGATCCATTTTCTCCACTGACAAACCATTGATCAAAATTCCTAAGTAATTATTAAGATGTTGTATCTTAATTTTTCTTTGTAAATTTTAATTGATGATTAAATGTGTGTTCGATAACTAATATAATGCGATCTTTTGTGTTTGTATTACATTTTGATGGTAAATTATTAGGTTTTAAAATGCCTATTCCAAGAAAGCCTATTCTAAACCATTAAGATTATGAAGTCATTCAGGCATAATGAATGGTAACCAACGTCTTGTTGACAACAAAGGGCGCAACCTGGTGTTGTGACGACACGACTGTTGTACTCTATGCCAATGAAAAAACATTTCATCCTGTTTTGAATATTCAGTTGCCACTTAAATTTGTTTTAGTCTCATACAGTATCAAGGTAATTTAATTAAATTGGTGCCAATGTTAATTATGGAACTAATAGTAAATAAAATTTGATTAAGACCTAAGATTTAACAGTATTTTAAAATTTTAAATAGGATTAAACTATTATTTAGGAAACTGTTTAGAAAATGGCTATTGTTAGCAAAGCATATTTCAATTAATTAACTGGGTGATACAATGCATGCAATAGCTTTAGGAATTTACATATATGAATCACAGACAGACATGCCAACATTTCTGGCTAAATACATCATCTTATGGCAGATGCAAGTCCCTGGCCCTGCCTATTGAATACTGTAACATTCCGATTGGACGATTGTAAAGTTTGGTCGACACCCTAGAGAGGTCCATTGTATTCCGATGGTGTTTGCGTCAGGAGATTTAATAGGAATGATGCTTTGCCCTATTTGACATGCTCAGTACATTCCTAAATACTTGCGAAAAAAAAAATTGTTTGTAACTTAATACTCACCTCTAGTTCATTAAGTCTCTGGATTCGCGGAGTAAACTTGAACGAGTCAACATCAACAGCAAACGGAGGTTGCCAATTCTGCAGAATATAACAAAATTTTTATTTTTTATGTTATTACACTGCTTACTGATCAAAGTTGAGCTCTTTACCAGTCACTAGATTTATGTTATCCTCCAAAATGCACCTGCAGTGGCATGGAGATACTGTAGGTATTAAAATATAAGTGGTCAGGCAAAGGCTACCGTCTGATTAGAGAGTCTTAATCGGTCTGGTTGAGAAATTTGCACAGAAATGTAAGCTTGGTTGATTGCGCCTAGGATGAAATCACTGTCAATCCTCACAACTCAATCAGGCAAGGTACCCAGGTTGACCATACCTAGTCGCTATAGCCTCTGGTCAAAATGTGACCAATAACAGCTAGCTTTAGTTAGGTCAATCCAGGTCAACTGTAGGTCACACCTGCACTCCGCTTGAGTCACGGCTGTCTTGAATGCTAGTCTGAACTGTAGCCACAGCTTCATAGAATTCCAAGGAAAAATAATTGTGGCACATGTACATAAAAAACAATTGAATTTTAATCAAATAAGAGGTTCAGATAGACCAAAGTACAAGACTTTGTTCACATTTGTTATGAGGGTAATCAAATTATATTACACAATACTGTATTGAAAATGTGGGGTCAACTTTGGGGTCAAGTTTGAGGTCAAGGTACAAATCCCATGCTAACAACCTCCCTTGTGTTGTGTCCTTTAAGCAAGACTATATGTGATTCTGTAATCAGGATGGAAATACAGTAGTCTCCTGAAATTAAGTTTCAGTAACTAATTATTCATATGACTAATACCCTATTCAGACTACACTCTCTTGTGATCGGTTGCGATGTAATCGGTGGTAATCCAAAACTGATTACTCCCGATCACAATCAACGAACGCATTCAGACCAACACAAACAAACTTTACATTCTAGGGCCTAGACCTCCGGTGGCTAGGCCTATGTTGCCTGACCTCAGCCAAACAGTGCCTGTGGAATTCGTTGTGATTCGTTGCAATCAGATTCCGTGGTAATCGGGAGTAATAAAGATTGTAGCACCCAATTGCAACGGGTAACAGTTGCGATATCGATTACATATCGACTATTATTCGTGAGCTTTCACACACGATTTTACTTTGCGATTGGGTGTCGCAACTGCTACAACCGATCGCAATGCGATGCTAGTCTGAATGGGGTATTAGTCTGTAGTATTGCAATACAGTATACTTGCATATGTACCATATTTACAGAAGAAAAATATCTCCACGGGAAGACTTCCTAAAAAAGAGTTACAATACTGGAATTACTGTACTTGTCGTCTTCACTCGAGAACTAAACCTTGTTAAATGTTGGTACAACAATTGATGCAAATACAATATTCTGTATTTCTCAATATCCATAAAAAGAAAAAAAAAACTAAAGCAAGACAAAAATGAACTTTCATGATACCCATGCAGTGAGGATACACACAACACCACAATAAAAAATAAGCTGCGCCAATTACCATTCACAAATTCATTTTGTTTTTGGGATGTTACCAGCCTCCGTCTTTTTTTTAACATGAAAATTATTAATTATTAACTAAGTAACATTGTCTGTAGATTGTTAATTAAAAAAGTGTATTATCCTACTGTAGAATCAATGTCATGTACTGTAATAACAAAAATGTTTTTTGTGTCAAAATGTCCATCAATATTTACTTGTAATAAAATGTCAACAAAGAATTATCATTGTGGATAGTCTTCTAAAACATATGGGATAAATGGCTATTGTATGTAACAATTTCAATGGAGATCACAAGAAAATTAATATAGTTAAATGCAATATATACAGGGCATTCAGAACAAAACAAAATTCTGACAATTGCCCAAAAATAAATTATATTAATTTAAGAGATTTATTAACAAATGCACTATGAAACTATTTCCTAATTAAACAAGCCACACCTATAATTTTTCAACAAAATTATTTTATAATGATTGATATTATTAAATTTAAGGATTAAAAATATCAAATGATAAATTACATTTCAGTAAGGGTATTTTGCTTATCAAATTATATTCTACCAATTCGTATTTTACTTTCTGGGCCAAGGCCTTAATATTCTCTGAACTTCTAATTTCATCATTATTATTCTACTTATAATTACTATAAAAACCTGTATAATTGGGTTTTTACCAAAACAATGAATGTGATACAGTTAAAATTTATTACTAATTATAAATTGCATTACTAGTTTATATTCCTAGTTTTCAGCTCCCATATGCAAATACACCAAAGGTGATAGAATGGAAGTAGGCAGCCATTTTGTTTTTATCAAACCTACACATCAATTTGAGTAGCTAGATTTTCAAGGCAGAAATTAATCAGCTCACAATGATTTTCTAGGGCTAAAATTGGTTCATATTGGTCTTTTATCTTTTAGATGTCTAGTAAACATAAAAAAATCAAATATATAACCATGTTTTAAACACCTCTGAAAGAAATATCAAGGCTCTCCAAAAAAGCTGGGGCCTAGCCTGGGCTGAGCTTTAGAATTCTCCCTCTTTCCAATATTAGATCTTCAAATGTTACATAGGACTAAATATTAACATACACACTAATAAAAAGTTTTAAGATAAGTTAATGATAATAGCAGTAATATTTAAATCATATCAGTTAGGCCCTATGCAGAAATTTTACCAAGATTTTAATTTAAATATTTCAAAAAAATAATTTAAACAAAATTTATTGTATTTTTGTTTTCAACATTTTTATAGATTTTGATATCTCTAATGTGTTTCTATACATTTAAAAACTTAGCCTAGTAGTACCAACAAATTAAAAAATTTAAATTTTCATCTTGGTCGATTTTTACAATTAAAACTTATCCATATGTCATGGTCTGGTTTAGCCTATCCACCATTGCTAAAATTCAGGTTTGCATGTAGACCAGGCTATCTATCCTCAGTCACATTTTTGTTTAGCTTATTTTAACTCTTTCAAAAATCAAATGTCTAAGTTACATTACTTAAAATACATGTCTTTTTGTTTATAAATGTTTCTATAAGAATATAAATATTCTAGTGTGTGCAAATCACGTTGCTTTGAAAATGATTAAAGATACCAGATATATTCATGATTTTATTGTAGGTTCCTCCTCTCGAATTTGCAGATTGTGTGAGCAAATTGAAACAATGAAATTCGTCGCCATTTGTAAGAATCATAAATTGAGAATGTAAAAAGTGATCAAATTCTGACAAAACTTGTTTTCATCCATGGCAGTTAAATCAAGTATCCATAAGGGAACTCATAAACATGGGGAACTTAGTATTTCTGACAAAAATAATCATTTTGCCTTACCGAGGGAGGACGGATTTTACAAATTCCCGTCTTCAATGCAATAGGCCGAATCTTCGCGATATAACCGAGCGGATCGACAAATTCTTCCTCCGTTGGTTCAAAAACTGGTGCCTCAGGTGGAGGCGAAAAGTCTTCCTCTGCTTCAATCATTTCTATCCATACGGTGTACGAAACTAAAAAAAAATCGTCTTAAAAAGACTAAAAGAATGGTGTCTTTACCCTAGGCCTACCACCATCAACCAAAACTCTTCCGCCGCACAGACCTGAATTACTCTCAACGGGTGGCTCAGTTGTGGTTTGCTAGACCTCAAGCTTAGCTTAGGACCATGTTACTCATCAGTCAAATCTAATCTGATAAAATATAGTTCCAAATATCATGGCGTTGTTTTTAATTCACTCATAAAGTAATAAATAATCTTCGACGTCAATCTTTAAAAATTATTCAGTAAAGCATTCTACATGATTATACTTTAATACGAATTTTGGTAAGTGTGATATTAACTAGAACAAAGAACTGTTTGGGTTAAACATGGGACATAGTTCCGGCCATGATGGATTTTAAACTTTGAACATTGTGCGTATGAATACGTTCAGCTGAATTCTTCCAAAACACACGTATACTTCTTGGTGGCGCTCCATCTATTCAATTAATTACCGTACTGGATAACATTTCATGTAGAAACTCAACGATTGGTGTTCTATAATTAAAATGTAAAATTTTGTGAAATCTGAAAAAAAAAAAACCAAAAAAAAATCCCTAATTCAAACAAGAACAACTACTATTTTATATACCAACACATATCAATTGAAGGCCAATTGTATTGCAAAAATAAACGCATTAACTCACTTATTCTGTTAGATCCGACAATTGATATGTTTTTTAATAGTTTGAATATTTTTAAGTATAAAATTAAGAAATGTCTTGTATAAGTGTTCTTGATGTTTTCCGTACGGTGTTTATTGTGTTTTATGTATTCCATTCTGTAAGTGGCGGGCTCCCCGCTGTCGAATGTGAATTAAAATAAAATAAAATAAAATAACAACTCCCCTGCTGTACTACGTTGCTATCTGGCTACGAACCTTTCTTTAGAAAACAAAATGGGCGTGCCCTGAGATGAAAAAGCGTAAAATTTTAAACCATGACGTTGTTCCGTTAACATGAAGTAGTTTAACTTATATTTCAATAAATTAATCTACAGTATTTTGAATGCAACAGGGGGTGGGGGGCGGGGGAGTGTCGTTCACAAATCAACATTAACACTGTTAATGTTGATTTCTTTACAAACAGTAGGCCTACTCTGTTTCGGTCCCAACCCCCCCCCCCGCACACTCCCTCTTCTCTGAAAGTGTACATAAAAATGTTAATGTTGCAAAACCATTCTTCATTTTTTTTTGTGAAGTCAACTAAAGTATTGTACTTAACTTTGTCACTTAAAAATGTTTATCCATGCATGGTAGCATTTGATCATAAAAATCGTATTATTTTATATTTTCAATAATCAACATTTTCATGCATATTATGTGAAAGTGTATACATTTTTCTACCCCAACCCTCTTCTAGCGTACGGTACTGTTTGTACACTTGTGAAAATGTTGAAACGGTGAATGACTCCTTAGTTACCACGCTACGGTAGGGTAACGCTGCAAATGACGTCATCAACTATATGAATAGGGCCTATTCATAAAAGTATAAGCCTACTTGAATATCAAAACAATATAATAGAAATTCGCCTTTATTAGTTTCGATTACGTGTGTTTCTGCTAAACTGATAGGTAACAACTGTTGAAATTTTATAAGGAACTCTGGGCCTTTTGTCCGTGGTTACATACAATGTTCGTAAAATTACTCCTTAAAATAATTTTATAAAATTGATTTGTTGAGTAAAGAATCAAATAAATGTTCAACCTCTATTGAGTGAGACATAGAAACAATTCAGTTTTCAGTGATGTAAGAAGTTTTACTACGAAAATATTAAATTGAAATCATTCTATGGAAAATAATGAAAATAATACGGGAATAATAATAATAATAATAATAATAATAATAATAATAATAGGCATAGGCCTATGCCTAATTAATAATAATAATAGTCCGATCTTGATTGAACACATTTTACTAAAGCCTCAATGCACTTTACATTAGAGATAATGATGCCTGGCCTTAAAAATGTGTATTGTGCCTGCAACTGAAGTGGGTGTGGACGTTTGCAG